GCTGGGATTATAAGTATGAGCCACTGCGCCTAGCCAAATTCTTTTAATTGTTGAAACATAACTTCACTCATATTATTATTATTTTGAGAGAGGGAATTGCTGTGTTACCCAGGCTGGAGTGCAGTAGTGAGATCAAAGGTAACTGTAGCCTCGACCTCCCAAGGCTCAAGAGATCCTTTCATCGTAGCCTCCTGTGTAGCTGGGACTACTGGCACATGCCACCATGCCAGGCTAATATTTTGGATTTTTTGTAGAGAGAGGATCTCACTTTGTTGTCCAAGCTAGTCTCAAACTCTTAGGTTCAAGTGATTTTCGCACCCCAGCCTCCCAAAGTGCTGGGATTAGAAGTGTGAGCCACCATGCCCAGCTTCACTCATATTTTAAAATTATCTTAAAGTATTGCTAAAAATAAGGATAAGGCAACCAGGAAAAGAATCAAAGACTTTCCAGACCCACTAATACATCGGTTATTTAACTGAGGACTAAGTATCTCCAGAGGGCTCGGAGAAAGCACCTCTGTGTGACTGGTTTACCTCCATGTATTCATTATGTTAAGCAGAAGAATTATTATTTTCACATTCCTTGACAAGAATGTCTAATGCTAATTTTGCCTGTCATTTTTTGTTTTTGTTTTTCTCCATGCTTTGAAGTATAAGTAAGTACTAGAGTGTGAGCTGCTATGGCTCAATGGCGTGCAATATCATAACATGGTAATGGCTTTCTTCATAGCTAGGCATGTTCTAAGTACTTTAGCATCTTTTCACAGTGAGACAAAGTTCACCAATTTGGCTGGGTGAGGTGGCTTGCACCCATAATCCCAGCAGTTTGGGAGGTCGAGGCAGGCAGATCGCTTTAGTCCAGAATTTTGACACCAGCCTGGGCAACATGGTGAAACCCCATCTCTACAAAAATATAAAAATTAGCCAGGTATGGTGGTGCATGCTTATAGTCCCAGCTACTTGGTAGGCTGAGGCAAGAGCATCGGTTGAGTCCAGGATGCAGAGGTTGCAGTGAGCTGAGATCATGCCATTGCACTCCAGCTTGGGTGACAGACCAGGACCCTGTCTCAAAAACACAACACAACACAACAACAACAACAAAAAACAAGTTCTCCAGTTAAAACCAATCATGCAGCATAGGTAAGCAAGCATAAATTATCTCATTTGACCAGGCCTCTTTGCATTGCACCACACCTGTCATGCATCTCTGTAGGGTAGTACCCAGCCTGTTTTTTTCATGTTGTCTCCTGGAAAAGAGCAGAAGCAATGCATTCTGATAGTTGCCAGTGATTCCTAGAAAGCATCAGGAGTATCTTCACAAATGCAATTCTGTCTGGTGTGTAGAATCATTTCAAGGGAATAGTTGTATTTAATGTTAGCTCCAGGTTCTGACCACTCACCAATCCTTAACCATAATCTCCATTACAAGGCCAGAGTTCTTTTTTGTGTGTGTGAGAAGTAGTCTCACTCTGTCGCCCAGGCTAGAGCATAGTGGCGCGATCTCGGCTCACTGCAACCTTGCCACCCAGGTTCAAGCAGTTCTGCCTCAGCTTCCCAAGTAGCTGAGATTACAGACAGCTGCCACCATGCCTAATTTTTATAGTTTTGGTGGAGACGGGATTTCACCATCTTGGTCAGGCTGGTCTTGAACTCCTGACCTCATGATCTACACGCCTCAGCATCCCAAAGTACTAGGATTACAGACGTGAGTCACCGCGCCTGGCCACAAGGCTAGAATTCTTTGATGACTGAACAAGCTCATCAAAGACGGAGTGGTGGAGCAAAAGGAGGCTGGAGTTTCCCAGCCTTTGTGTCTTATGGCTACATATCTTCACGTGGCTTGCTGCCTGCTCTCTCCTTGAGAATTTCTCCTTCCTCATTATGTTTCACTTCCTGCTCGTTTGTTGTTTCATTCTCTTTGCTGAGTTCCCTTCTTTCAAGATTTACTCTGTTTGCCATCTCTTTTAAAAAAACATTTATTTAGTTTAGAGGCGAGGTCTTCCTATGATGCCAAACTGTTCTTGAATTCTGGGACTCAAGCAGTCCTCCTGCCTCGGTCTCCCTTCAGGGAGGAGCCCCACTGTGCCCAGTCCTTTTGCCATATCTTTTTCTCTCGGTAGACTCTCCATGGGGACCTCATTCATCCCGTGACTTTGACCACTTCTACACAGACAATGCCCAAATCAGTAACAACAGCCTGTTCCTAAACGTTGTTATTTCCAACTGCCTTCTAGAATCTATTTCACAGATCCTTTAAAGTGAACATGTCCAAACTCTCTCTCTCCTCACCCCAAATCTGCTATTCTTCCCTATTTCCTGACAAAGTTGTTGGCCTACCCACCTTGCAAACTTTGTGGGCCAAGAAGAATTCACAAAGCCAGCCCAAGACTGCCTATCCTTAGGAAGTCCTGCTTACAAGGTTGGGCCTCAGCTGGCAAACAGTTCTCTGCACTATCAGACTTCCACTAAATGCTAAGAAGTGTTCACTTTGCCTAAACTGTTTGTGCAAACAATGTGGTTTATACTGACTGCCTGTTTTCCTTCTGGAGGTCTTGAGTTTTGGTAAATGCTAGGCAGAAGGTACCTATGTGACCAGCTCCCAGTTAAAACCCTGAGCACTAAGTCTTCAATGAGTTTCCCTGGTAGACAACGCTTGCTGCCACAACTTGGTTGCTGGAGGAACTAAGTTCAGCCTGTGGGAGAGGTTTCTCAGAAGCTTGCATCTGGTGACTTCTGTCTTTGCTCTATTTTCCTTTTCTCTCTGCTGATTTTGCGATGTGTCTTTTTGCTGTATTCTTTTTTTTTTTTTTGAGACGGAGTTTCGCTCTTGTTACCCAGGCTGGAGTGTGCAATGGCGCGATCGCGGCTCACCGCAACCTCCGCCTCCTGGATTCAGGCAATTCTCCTGCCTCAGCCTCCTGAGTAGCTGGGATTACAGGCACGCACCAGCATGCCCAGCTGATTTTTTGTATTTTTAATAGAGACGGGGTTTCACCATGTTGACCAGGATGGTCTAGATCTCTTGACCTCGTGATCCACCCGCCTCGGCCTCCCAAAGTGCTGGGATTACAGGCGTGAGCCACCGCGCCCAGCCTGCTGTATTCTTAACCATGTATATGCGTATACATGTATATGAATATATATATATGAGTAAACAACTACATATATGAGCCCAATGTCTTCTTAGCAAGTCACTAAACCTGGGGATGATCTTGGGAATGCCTAACACACCTTAGCATAATTCCTAGCTCTCCTTTTATTCATCCCTATATTCAATTAATCACCAATTATCATTAATTCTACCTGCAAGTATTTTCAAAAACGTGCTGTATTCTCCACCCTCACTGCTCTGATGCTACAGTTGTGACTCCATTTGGTCACCACTGCCTCCTCCACCTTCCCCCAAAAAGCAAAAGTCAAACTGCCAAGATTGGAGGACAGTACCAAGACACCACTACAAGGTAGACTGTCTTTCAAAGCTGATTCCCTCACTGTAAGATGGGGATGGTAATAGCATTTACTTCATAGGGTTGTTGTCGGGCAAATGAAAAAAATGCATAACACTTTATGAGATTACCTAAAGTGCTTAGCACATAACAAACCCTTAACAAATGTTAGTTGCTGTTTTTATTTTTATTTATTTATTTATTTAGAGACAGGGTCTCACTCTATCATCGAGGCTGGAGTGTAGTGGTACAGTTGGGGGCCATTGCAGCCTTGACCTCCTGGGCTCAAGCCATCCTACCATCTCAGCCTTCCAAGTAGCTGGGACCACAGGTGTGAGCCACCACCATGTCCGGCTAATTTTTTTTTATTTTTAGAGAGATGGGGGTCTCACTATGTTGCCTAGGCTGGTCTTGATCTCCTGAACTCAAGTGATCCACCCCACCTTGGCCTCCCAAAGTGCTGAGTTTACAGGCTTGAGCCACTGGGACTCCTCACCTGGTCACTACCTCTGAAACATCCAGTTCTAGCACCAAAAGCACTTTTGTTAGGAAATTAGGAACTCAGCTGATCTGTATCCATCCGTAGGCCCCCACCAAAACATAGTATCTCTGTCTGGTTCTAAGTAACCTGGTATTTGGGGATGCTCTTTTCGTCTGCACAGGTGTCTCAGTGTGGGATTTATGAAGAGATACAGCTTTCTTGTGGTGGTAGAAGGTGGATGGAGCAGATGGAAGCCAGGATGTCTCTGTAAATCTCCATATTCCTGACATTACTGCTGCAAATTATTGTCTCCTACACCAGTAGTTCTGCAAAACCACCAGCTACTTCACAAGAGAAGTTAGTGCAAAGGACTGAAGAGCCAGGAGCATCATAAATAATACAAATTAGAAAATGTTTCTATTTTCAGTGTCTTCAGTAACTCCCAAGAATTCTTTTTAACTGAAAACTTTTTGGAATCGTTACATTCTCTACAGCAGAAATAATGAAATCAAAGGTCCATTACTAAAATAAAGTTTAAATGTCTATTTAGCGTTCCAAATATCAATATATTTACAGAGTTGAATTATTCACCCTAAAATTCCATGCTATAAAATCACATAGCAATAATTTGTGATTAAAAACAAACAGAAAAAAGCAGCAAAGGCAAGTGGGGTAGTATATTAACTTTATTTTGAATTATTATATAACATGGAATATGTCATCAAAGAAATGAATTAATGAAAAATGTTTGTAGTTCAATTAAGCAGACAATTTGCATAGGATGCAGAGCTAACTGAATTGTCTATAGAGTAACATAAAATAATCATTTACATGTGTGCAAACTAAAATGCAATTTTTAAAACAACAGACCTTTCCATACAATCTTTGGTAGGTGATTAATAATTTTCCCTGCTATGGATAATCTCATCTAGATCAAATGTGATCCCTTTAAGCTAGACACCTGTTACCTACAGTAAGAAGGCCTCCATGTTGTTAAAGCTACTGGGTTCAATTTTATGGCTCTAATACTGTTCAAGAACATTATCCACTTAAAACTATTGAAGTAATAAGCCAGTGCTCGCTTTGGCAGCACATATACTAAAATTGGAATGATACAGAGAAGATTAGCATGAAGTAATGGGCCAATGACATGTTTCAGTGAAAAACAAAGTTTGTGATTCGTCCTGTTTTGTCTTTTGGAACTTTGTTATCAGTATCCATAATGTTTTGCTTTGTATCAGTGATTAACTACTATTTTTGCCACAAGGGTTAACTAAGGGGAAAATGTAAAGCATTTAAGTCCATATTATTTTCCCCTTCAAAATGAATATAGCTTTTTGAAACTCCCACAGGAGCAAATGTGTATTTGTACAAATTTGCTGAATAAAAGAATGCCAATGAGTAAATTGGCACTGCTTTTTTAGCCACCAAAATGTTTATATCTGGGTGTTTTAGCAACAGAGAGCTTTCTAATATTTTATCCTAGAATCAGGTTGCAGGCTTTTTGCATAGCTGGTCAGGCTGTAGGCACTTCTGGGGGCTGTGGGTTGCTCATTTGCTTGTGGCATTTATCAAAATACGCTGATTTTTGTTGTATTCATTAATTGTAACAAATTTTAGGAGACTATCTTCTAATTTCAAAGATAATATTCCATTATTTACTGAATTAAAGATAATCCTTTTAGTGACACTGAAAGTTGGTTAAACAAAAATTCTTTTGGGATTACATCCTTTTCTTCTGTCTTAACATGTCTTTACGTAGAACATGACTGAAAACCAGAGTAGACTATGAACACAAAGATGAAGGATGAGGCTGGGCGCGGTGGCTCAAGCCTGTAATCCCAGCACTTTGGGAGGCCGAGGCGGGTGGATCACGAGGTCAAGAGATCGAGACCATCCTGGTCAACATGGTGAAACCCCGTCTCTACTAAAAATACAAAAAATTAGCTGGGCGTGGTGGCGTGTGCCTGTAATCCCAGCTACTCAGGAGGCCGAGGCAGGAGAATTGCCTGAACCCAGAAGGCAGAGGTTGCGGTGAGCCGAGATCGCGCCATTGCACTCCGGCCTGGGTAACAAGAGCGAAACTCCGTCTCAAAACAAACAAACAAAACAAAAACAAAAAACGAAGAATGTGTTTAGCAGAAATACAATTGCGTTTATTTTGGAAGATTACAGAAAGAAGGTTTTATTTTTGTGTGTGCAGTTAGGCACTGATTGAGGCATTTAGACACCATTAATCATAAAGTGCATTGAATGTAAGTTTTGATCTCCTTCAAAGGAATAATTCAGTAAAACTCAGATTTCGTTCTTGGAATCAATCAACTCAAGAACATGCATAGATGAAGACTTACTAAATGCTAATAACAGTCTTTTATTATTTATACACCTGCAATAGTGATAGCAACATATTGTACTTGCATGTATATCGCATTGTATCCAAAGACCTCAGAGTCATTATATCAAGCAGCATGGTGTTGGAAACTCAAGATTCCAGAGTGTTAGGTATACTTACTTATGGCATGGGAAACAGATTCCCAACAACAGAGACCAAAGACCAAAGAGACAATCCTGTAGATTTCTTATAGTTTATGCTTTTCTGAATTTCCAAATTTGCCACTGGTATCCTAACCTACCTACAATGTTGACTCTAAGTAAAAGTCATTTTTACATGTCAGGAATAAGATGAGGAACAATGAACAAACGCACAATCTGTCTTTTCTATAGTTCAATTGTCTGTCTTTGAATAGCACACAATGGAATGTCGGAAGTGGTTTTTTTAATAGTGTATGTTTATACCTCATTGATTTATAACAATCATGGCTATGATCCCTGTGTAGAAGAGAACATTTTGTACTGGACTGACATACATATGTAGGTAAAATAGGATAGATCTGTATATTTTAGCACACATACATTTAACACAAAAGCAAAAGTTGAATCAATCCATTGAAGGTCAGCTTTTCAGTCTTTAAAAGGAACAAAGTGTTCTGTCTCCTTGCTTAGCACTAAGAACCCGATCCACCTTAGCGTTTAACTGAGAGGCCCAAGTTAGCATTATTGAAAATGAGTTTCTGTGGAATCTGTGAACATGCCAGGCCCCCCAGGAGCTGAGTTACAGGACACTGTGAGAAGCCTGTGGTAAGGGAGAAAGAGGGTCCCTGAGCTGTTTGGTTCTTAACTTGGTGCACAGAGCATAGCTCTTCTTTGTCAGGGACCCACAGGGTGGGCATTCTGGGTATATATTTTTTTTCATAAAAGAATTTCCAACACTGAGATGCAATTTCTTTTTGGACAATGTGATTAAACTTTCTCTGTCAAATATGGAACTAAACTAGCTCTTTCTGGGACCTTCTTTACTTCTCAGGAGACGCAATATACGTTCATTTTTGGTTAGTTCTGCTGGAAGTTCGTTGGCCTGAAAGAAGAGAAGATGGCTATTAGTGAATCGCCATAGCTGTTGTGGTGTTAGGGACTCCAAAGAGGGGCATTTGATCCACTCTTTCTCCTTTGCTAATGAAAAAAACCCACACTGGTTATGACACCACGCCAGAGTCAAGATACCAAAAAAAGAAAAAAAAAAATCCAAACTGGACTCATTCTTTTATATAAAGGTATTAAAAATCTCCTTTAAATGTAAAAATATTACGTATTTCCTCATCTCATTCTTGGAGATTTTTTTCTATCCAGCCAGATCCCTTACTAGACTGTAATCTCTTAGGGGAAAGGGTCCAGATCTGATTAATCATTGTATCCTTACCTCCAGCACAATGCCCAGCATGTCTAGAATGTTCTCCATAAGTACTGGTCAAATTACATTTGATACTTTATATGTATTTTATTATTTTATTATTATTATTAGAGACAGGGTCTTGCTCTGTTACCAGGCTGGAATGCAGTGGTATGATCATGGCTCACTGCATCCTTGATTCTCTGCCTCCTGGGTTCAAGCAATTCTCTTGCCTTAGCCTCCCGAGTAGGTGGGACTACAAGCGTGCGCCACCATGCCCGGCCAATGTTTTTGTATTTTCAGTAGAGGGGATTTTGACATGTTAGCCAGGCTGGTTTCAAACTCCTGACCTCAAGTGATCCTCCTTCCTCGGCCTCCCAAAGTGCTGGGATTATAGGTGTGAGCCACCGCACCAGGCCAGATGTCTTTTGATGAGAAGGCAGAGTTAGGAAACATCCAGAGCATAAGAGACACCTGGGAAATAACAGCTTTGGTGGTTAACACTTTCCACCTGACCCAGTATCACTCCAAGTCCTTTCTTTCACATTGCTGCTGAGATACATTCATTAGGCATCTAGTGAACCAGTCCCTACCATCGACAACAGGTGTGATGTGGAAGTGGTTCTCAAACTTGTTGGTTTTAGGACCCCTTTATACTCTTAAAAATTACTGAAGAGTCTAACAAACTTTTGTTTTAAACTTAATAAAAATAGAAGCTGAGGGCTGGGTGCAGTGGTTCACACCTGTAATGCTAGCACTTTGGGAGGCTGAAGTGAGAGGGCCACTTGAGCTCAGGAGTTCGAGACCAGCTTGGGCAACATAGTGAAACCTCATATCTATTATTTAAAAAGAAGATCTTTTCAAAAAGAAATTAAAACAGAAAAACTTAAAAATATATTTATTCACTAAAAATAATACAAGTTAATGTATTTATAAAAAATTTTCAAAAACAAGTAAATATGCTGAGTAGCACTGCTTAACAGCTTTACATATTACTTTAAATGTGTAGCTTAAGGGAATACAATTGGATTCTCATGTCTGCATCTGCATCCTGTCTATTGTGATATATTGTTTTGGTAGAATTATGTAAAGAAAATTAAGCTTCACACAGATATGTAAATGGAAAAGAAAGGAGTATTTTAACACTCTTTTCAGATTGTTGTAGATATTATTCTTTGATGCCACATCAATACTCAACAAGTGGTAGTTTCTCTTTTTTTTTTTTTTTTTTTGAGATGGAGTCTCGCGTCTCGCTCTGTCACCAGGCTGGAGTGCAGTGGTGCGATCTTGGCTCACTGCAACTTCCCCCTCCCCAGTTCAAGCGATTCTCCTGCTTCAGCCTCCCGAGTAGCTGGGATTATAGATGTACACCACCACACCCAACTAATTTTTGTATTTTTGGTAGAGACAGGGTTTCACCATGTTGGCTAGGATCATCTTGATCTCTTGACATTGTGATCTGCCAGGCTTGGCCTCCCAAAGTGCTGGGATTACAGGTGTGAGCCACTGCACCCGGCCAACAAGTGGAAGCTTCTTAAATGCAATGTGGGATTTGAAACCATATCAATGAACTTTAAAACCCACAGATATATCTATTCACAGTTGGATCTTTTACCTAGCATGGTTTGTAACATGCACTGCTCATTTGGAAAGTATGGTTCACTGAGTTTGTAGAATGTTGGCATATTTCATTGTGCAATATTAAAAACTCACATTCTGGCTGGGCGTGGTGGCTCATGCCTGTAATTACCCTACTTTGGGAGGCCAAGGCAGGTGAATCACCTGAGGCAAGGAGTTTGAGACCAGCCTGGCCAATATGGCAAAAACTTGTCTCTACTAAAAATATAAAAATTAGCTGGGCTTGGTGGCACATGCCTGTAATTACAGCTACTCAAGAGGCTGAGGTAAGAAATCCCTTGAACTTGGGAGGCAGAGGTTGCAGTGAGCTGAGATCACACTACTGCACTCCAGCCTGGGTGATAGTGAGACTGTCTCAAAACCAAACAACAAAAACTTATCCATCAGAAAAGCCTTTAAGTACTGGGAAGCTGTTAAGGTCATAGTGTTAGATACCTTGTTCTTTAAGGTAAAAATAGTGTTCCATGAAAAAAGTGGTAGGTTCACTTTGGAATTCAAACAACTGCACAGGAGCTGTGGAAACTAACACAACTCCATCTTGGATACTAATCTGCCATGTTGACTTCTTTTTTTTTTTTTTTTTTTTTGAGATGGAATCTTGCTCTGTGCCCAGGATGGAGTGCAGTGGCGCCATCTCAGCTCACTGCAACCTCTGCCTCCCAGGTTCAAGCCACTCTGTTGCCTCAGCCTCCCCAGTAGCTGGAATTATAGGCGCACACCACTATACCCAACTCATTTTTGTATTTCAGTAGAGATGAGGTTTCACCACATTGGCCAGGCTGGTCTCGAACTCCTGACCTCAAGTGATCTGCCTG